CCCCAAAACCCCAAAACCCCAAAACCCCAATTTCAGAGGTTTCAGTTGAAAGTTTCTGAATTGTTTCTAATAATGTTTCCTCACAAATTGCTTATCTCTCGGCAATCATTCTTGGATCTTTAACTCTTACTTCAAGATTAGTTAAAAACATGTAAGCCAAACTATTTTCTTTGTTGGCTAAACCATCCAGGCAAATTTTCATATCTTTAACTGTTTTTTTGGACAAAATATCTTATTAGTAGATTTCTAATTGCAGCTGCTTTATTATTTTAAAGCCTTCTGGACAATAAGACCTCTATCAATGATATTTTAGATTCCTCTTGATCTATTCTTTAGTGTAGTAATATTTTTTCACTATGTTTCTGAATCTTTTGAAAATCAAGCTAGATCGCTTTCATATCTTCATCATTTTCTTTAATCAATTGATGCATCTTTTTTAGGAGTTGATTTTTGAGGGTCGTTTCTTTTATTACAAACTCCTTTCTAATATTTTAATCTTCAAGTCATATTCTGGAATAGCTTGCTTCATTATACCAACATCTCTTTGGATACAAGATTCTGTTTCTTTTCAAGCTTAAATTTCACCATCAATAGCCTCGAAGGCTATCTTTTTAATAAGCTATTTCTTGTATTTGCTTCTTTAGGTTTTCAATTTCTTGAAGTAGTTTGGCTTTCTATATATCTTTCCTGTATTTCCTCTATTGGTTCAGAATAGAGAGAAGTAATATTCTTTTGATGATCTTTCTTCATTTATCAAGCGTCCTTTTTAAGTTTTCATTCATCTTTTTGTACATTTTCACATTATTTAAATCATCGTGACAAATTCTTTTTGTTTTCTTTAATAAATTTGTGTTTAGAAATACCAAGCTCTCTTTTATGTGGTTCAATAAGTGCCCGCTTTTTTCAAATTCTTACTTCAAGGTTTTAATTTGATTTTCAGAGTCTAATTTTATCATAGAGAATTCTCAAAAAAATTCTTCCTTAATTTTTCTGATTCTTTCCCATACTCTTTAATACACTTCGCAATTTTATCGATAAGATCAATCGAGGACGGACAGTTTAGTGTTCAACTCATTTTTGTTTCAAGTGGCGTTATCTTTTCTTTGTATTCCTGTTAAAGTTTTGCTCTAAATCTGCCTTCTTGCTGATGGACATTCTCAAATACTCTTTCGTATTTTTGTTAGTTCTTTTACTTCTTAACCTTATGCATAATTCAGTGTTTGAGTGGTTTGTCTGAGTTTTTGAGAGAATTCATTTGAGCTCTTAGTTCTCAATTATCAGTTTAACTCCTAAACATGTCCTAACAGCAGTTTACAGTTGGTCTATTTCTTCTAATATAGATTTATCTTTCTATCAGATTCTTGAATTTGAGTCCTTAGATTATCAACTTCTCTCTGTGTACAGGAGATTTGGTGGTCTTTGATACTAATTTCGTTATTTAAGGTTGGAATTTCTGACTCCTTAGACTGGATAATTTCTTTCAGATTTTGAATTGCAGGCTTAAATTATTTCTGTCTTTTAGCAAGATTTCTACTAATAGATTCTTTCTGTTTTCTTAATTCATCTTCTAAAACTCATATATTTGCTTTATATTGAACAGCAAGTTCTCTGAATAGGCTGTAGCATTTCCAATGAGTAGTGGAATTTTGTTTCATATTCTTTGGTTTTTTAATTTTTCTATTTTATGATTCTCATCCTTTGTCAGTACTCTGTCGAGGAAGGCTTTGCTTAAGTAGTTCTATTTCTTTTTTATAGCAATCCCTTATTTTCTTAATTTATTTTTGCAGCTTTTTTTAATTTTTCTGATGAGAGTTGAAAGTAGCTTTACTTGAGTTTCCAATTTCATTATTTTATCTTTTAGTTTAGCTTTGGTCTTTGTTGATTTTTGTTCTTGCTTTTCAGTATTTTGCAGACTTTAACCAAACTGAAAGGTTAGTTTACTCATTTGCTTCTCAAGTGAAGCAATTGTTTTATTATTAGTATCTTTCTCAACTTATAATGAAGAGTAATTGAAATCTATGTTTCTTCTAAGTTATTCAGCTTTTCACTAAATTCTCTTAGTTTGTGCTCTAGGACTTCAGTCTCACTTTTAAGCTATTTTTAAGATCTCTGATCTTTATGTTTCTATCAGAAATAATTTCCTTGGCATTCTGTAATTCTTCAAAGATCTCTCTATATTTAGCTTCTTGGCCTTTTCGATCTAACTTTAATGACTGCCTAGTATCTTCTAAATTGCTTATCCTAAACTCTAAGGTTTGATATTTCCCATTTTTATTGGCAAGAATAGAGTTAAGATATCTTATTTGATATTCTAGATTCATTATTAATTGTGTAGACTTGGTTCAGTTTCTTTTTCTTAATTTCTTTTAGAGTCACATTTGTGTTGGCTTTATACTTTACCATTTGGTTTTGAAATTTGTTCTGTTATTCTTTTCTCATTCAGTTTTCAAGTTATTTTAGTCTATGTTATTATTCAGCAATATTTTTGATGGTCTCTTTAATAAATTCTCTTGATCTAACTTTTCTGTGAACAGTTGGTTATATTTCTGGCTGCTTTCTCTTACATGCCCATTCATATCTTTAACATGTTTGATATTTTGCTCTTTGAGGGCTTATAAGAATTTTAGACACTTAAGAGTTCCTTTTGAGGTCTTTGAATCTGAGCTCGAAGTTTGATTTAGCCTTGATGATTTTTGACTTAAACCCTCAATTTTGACCTTATAAATCAGATCGGGTTAATTTCTCATTGTTTATACCTTTCTGTTTATTCTCTATGAACTTTAGTTAGGATTGAATTTCTCCCTTTTAGGTTCATTGAACTTTTCCTTTGAATCCGTTGTATTTTTCAATGCAACCTTGTGTTTCTTATGATTCCGTTCGTATCCTTTAGAATATTGTTTATTTCTTTATCATGAGTTTTGGCAAAAGCTTGATTAGAGCTCTTATTTACTTCATTTCTAATATGTACTCCATAGATGACTTTGGTGAGCTGGGCTATTTTCTTACTGATTCTGTGATGAATTTTTGAAGAATTTCAGTCATTGGGATCCTATTTTTGTAATTAATTAAATTTTTCAACATTTTGCTTTTAAAAAGGGGTTTTGGGGTTTTGGGGTTTTGGGG